CCCCAAAACCCCAAAACCCCAAAACCCCAAAACCCCAACAAGGTAGACTATTATTGAAACATCAGTTTAGATTGCGATTTACTTGTGAGATCACGGAAAACATTATTCATCAACATGTTGTTGCCTATCAATATTCTCAACAGACACAGGTTCTTTACACAGAGGGCAAACATTGTTGCGAGGAAGCCATTCAAGGATGCAATGGGTATGGAAGATATGCCTGCCGTTTCATGGTAAGGTTATTATCTCATCCTCTTCCTTAAATTCCTCTAGGCATACAGATCAAGCTTCATTCTGATTGTAATTTGCAGGGGTGAACCTTGTCCTGATTAATCTATCCAATATTTGGTTATTAGCTCCATTCCAATTTGGTCTATTGATTCTTCTAGCGTAAATTCAGAGAAACACCATGATTATACTGAATGTTCAAACAAATATTCATGCTTGTAAGAAGACATAGAAACCATAGGCAAGGTATAAATAGATATACCAGTAACTCCTACATGTGTCCTCATCCCCAATATTGAAGAAGTTAATGTAGGAGTAGATCATCCAGCCTGTCAGGAAAATCTTGGAGATGACTCCTCACCCAAGACCTGCAATAGATTCCTTTTGGTACCTTCTGAGGGTATAGCTCTTGATCCCATTGATCGGAAGCTTAAATCCAATGAGATAGATGCAGAACACTACTAATTGCTGCCTATTTGCCATTACTCATTTATGGTTGGGCTGGGCAATCAATAGAATACTAAAGAAAAGGAGAAGGATAACTTCTCCAAAGATATGAGTCTCAACTTCATTGATCTTCCTTGACAAACTCACACTCCTCACTTGTTGCTGGGCATGGTTCTGTGGCATCATCGGGTTTTGGAGATGCGCGAGGTTCCCACCAGGTTGTTGGTTATTAGGATCCATTTCCTATTAGTATTTTTACTAATTATTCTATAAATTTATGACTTTTGGGGTTTTGGGGTTTTGGGGTTTTGGGGTTTTGGGGTTTTGGGG